TCAATTGAAGTCTTCCCTCATCCCCCTTACAGTCCAGATCTTAATCCAATAGAAAATGTGTGGAGTTTACTTAAAAACCATTTATCTAAAAGATCTAGATCCTTTTTAGGCTTAGGTAATAACCAGAAGAGTATAGCGGCTTTTACTAGGGCTATTTTTGAAGAGTGGCAAGCTATTCCACCACAGGATATAGATAATTGTATTTTATCTCTACCTAGGCGTTGGCAAGCTGCAGTAGAAGCTAAGGGCTGGTACACTAAATATTAGCTTCTATTCTTAGCGAGAAATAAATATACTCTAAAAAATCAGACTCTTCTATATATCACGTGATCTAACTAGTAAAGATATACTATAACAGTCAGAGCTTAGAGATTAAAGATAGATCTATAGTATATATTAGACTTAGACCTTTTTATATAAAAACAATAGAGTAATCTAGATATTTAGTTTGGATTTATTCCAGCTTCTAGTTTGGGGATTTTTGTTCGCTCAGGGCTGCTGACTAAGCGGATAGTGGGTCCACTATGCCAAACTAAAAGATCTCGGCTTGCTAGATCTGCAATCCGTTTATTTTTAGCTATTTTTTCCAGCTATATATTAAAGTTTCAAAATAACAACTTTTTGAGTGACGTTTTTTTCGTGTCACCCCTCTGTATTTCTAACACTAAGGAGGTTTCTTAAGTCTATATAGGTAGTGCTAAGACGTAGTCTAGTATATAAGCTAGGACTAGCATTGTAAATTCATAAGAGGAGGCATGCTTGTCCCCTACGTCCTTAAGCATATCTTAATCTTAGCAAGATAGCGCGTCTACTCTTATATTATTCTTACTTAGATAATAGCGCAACTTTATATTTAAGAAGCGAGCAAGCTCTAAGTTCTATTGTACGTGGCGTTTAGATAGCTTCTACTTATGAGTAAAGTATTCTAAGTTCTTATAGTCTATAATAACTTTAACCTCTCGTACACTGTAGAGTTTAGTATCCTATTTCTTTAAGTAGTAGATTAATACTAGTAGTTCCTTATTATAGATAGAGTGATTAGCTTTATATGTAAGTAGTTTTCTAGAGAGATAAGCTACTATATAAAGCGTGCCTTTATTATCTTCTTATAGGAATATAGCTCCTAAAGCTTAACTAGAAGAATTATATTCTACTACTATACAGCGTTTAGAGTCAAATATAATAAGTACTTTATCTAAAAGAAATACTTCTTTAAGAGCTATAAAACTCTCTTCTTAAGTAGCGCCTTATTAAAACTTAGTATCTTTCTTAGTAAGTTATATAAGAGAGTCTACTAAACGTAAGAAGTAAAGAATAAACCTTTTATAAAAGTTAGCAAATCCTAAGAAACCTTATACGCCTTAGATAGACGTAGGGGGTTCCTATTCTTAGATAGCTTTTATCTTCTCTAGGTCTATTAAGACACCTTTTCTTACTTCAAAAGTAAACCTTAAATACCTTATACATTAGACGTTAAATTTACACTTATCTAATTTAAGTTATAGTTCTACTACTTATAGTTATTTAATTACTTATTATACGTAAGTATAGTTTTAAGATAGAGAGCTATCTATAAAGATTAAGATATTATTGAGGTAAGTAGATACAAAGTTGTCTAGTAGGTCCTATAAGATCTAATTAATGTAGCGCTAAAACATATTTAGAGCATTAGCTAAACTAAAAGGTATAACTAGCTATTTATATAAGCTAAATATTATCTAGAAGGCTATCATCTATTCTTATCTTTTAGTAATGTATATTTTATAAAAAGTAGTAAACACATCTAGCTTAGTATACTACTTAACTTATTTAACTTAGTTTAGAGTCTTATAGATTAGAGAGAAAGAGTATTAGTCTTTTTATATAATAGCGTTAAGCGTATAGTAGTTAATATAGAACCTTAGTTCTTCTTTAGGCTTTTATATAAAAAGGACTAGCAACGCTATAGAAGAGGTGTTTATATAAATAAAACTCTTATTAAGTAGATCTAGAAGTGTCTTTCTTAGGACTAGTAGTTTGTCTCTAGACATGCTATAGAGTAGTCTATATAGGATCTCTAGTAGCTTGCTATCTTAGAGAATTAATTTAATTTTATAGTCTACGTCTAGGCCTTAGTAAAGTAGTAACTGTACTCTCTCTTTTAGTAAAAAAAGCTACGCGTAGTTCTTAAGGTAAGTAGAGAGGGCTTTCTTTACTTTATTTATTATAAGTTTTACTTTTAGATAAAGAGCTTTTTTAATATCTTTTAGACTAGCTATCAATACCTACACTACTGTAACGGGCTAGGTAGCCCGCTACAGTACAGATAGCGGTGGCTATCTTATGTATCAACTACGCAACGATATCAGCAGCTCTGATATCTTGTGCCAGCCTTTTTGGCGCGGTGGGCGCGTTGTAGTTGCGTGCGCAGTCTAATAGGACTCGACCCGTTACAACTACTTTCTAGTTTCTATTTCTTTGTACGTGTAGTTAGAAAGTAGCAGTAGTAATAGTAGCATAGTCTATCTGCGTAGGAGTGGTGCTCTCCCTACTTTGTACAGAGAATCTATAATATTATAGGAGTAGGTAGTGCTTAGTAGTGTATAGTACTCTATCTATCTCTTCTAACTAGGTCTTTCTAAGGATTATATTAAACTTGTATATAAACAAGATAATATACACTACTACTTTTTATTTTGCCTCTCCTATATTAAGTATAAACTATATTACTTCTTATATAGAACTTATCTTTTATTCTACTATTACTAAGAGAGTAGATAAAAGTATATAATATAGTAGGTTTAGTTAATAAATAAGCTTATTACACATAACTAAATATCCATAATACCTATAGTTAAGCATTATAATAGCATTTATTACACTATTTATAACTATATTTATAGATATTGCTTTTATATGCTTTAATAGTTTAAGTATCCTATATGGTGCTTATATAATATCTCTTTCCTACTTTATTTGCTCTAACTAGCGTTTCTTAGTTAGAGCTTTTCTTTTCCCTTATCTAAGTTATTCTCTATAGGTGCTATAGTAGCTACCTTAGTATAGTTTCCTTGTTTATACGTATAAGTAGTAAGAAGAGTGTTATAGTCTTTATAATAGTATCCTTATCTACTATAGCAAAGATAATATCTCTCTCAATAGCGTCTTTTAATTTTAGTATAAGACCCCTAGTATTCTTTTATTATATATAACCTAGTTACGCCTAAAGTAAAGGTCTAGTTGATCTCTTTAGATATAGCTTAAGTGTTGCTAGAGAAGGGTAACGTAAAAGTTAGTTATTTAGATAATAGTTATTCTATTGCTCTTAGGTTTTCCTACGTAACTCTTATTCTTTATATAAAGCTATTATACTTCTTATTCTTACTAAGCTAGTAGCCTACTTAATACTTAAGCAACTCTTTATCAAGAAAGCTTTTTAAGTAGTTAATCTTTTAAGCGTTGTCTATAGCGCTTAGGCCTACTTCTTAGAATTTTAGGTTAAAGACTTAAACGTAATAAAGGAACTCTTGTCTTCCTTATTTAGTTGTACGAAGGTAGTAAAGAGCCTTCTACTTAATTATAGGGTCTTAGAAGAACTTATCTAACTAAGACTATAGTCTAGCTATTATAGCTATTAGGGTGCTATTTATAAGAGCTTAGACGTACGTATAAAGCGTATTAAAAGCTTGTCCTTTTATACATATAATAATATAGTAAGTTTTAAGTTCTTTACTTAGGTAAGCTACACTATCTATAAAGAGCTTAGCCTATACACGCATCTTCTACTAAGTATATTATTTATAGATACTATAGTTAAATATGTCTATGTTAAGAAGTCTAGGTGTAAGAGGCTACGCCTAAAGTGTGTGTGTGATCGAGTATATCTATACGACTACCTGGACTTCAAGAAGCTTGAAGTCTTGTTACTGCCTTTTTGGCTATGGATGGCGTAAGTAGTCGTACGCTCGGCCCGTTGGGCCCGCCCATTACACTAGGCTTAGGGTAACTTTATATAGGTAGGGCTAGAGTAGTTACTTTGCTTATTTAGTTAGTTATATCTATAGCGCTAATATAAGCTTTTATAAGAGGTAGTATTAAATAAGCTTCTTAAAGTTATCTTATTAGAAGCTTAATCTAGGATATTATTTCCTAGTGTGCGACTGCCTATCTCTTAAGCTATTTAGCCTATTATACGTTGTTAGCTATTAGCTAGTTAATATTTCCTCTTATTATATAGATAAAGGCGATAGATTCCTCGTCTAGCATAGCTAGGCTAGAGGCTAGTGGCGTTCCTTGTAACTCTATCTCTCTCTTCTTACGTTATTTTAGTCTCTCTTATGTCGTACATGTAACGGGTCGAGTCCTATTAGACTGCGCACGCAACTACAACGCGCCCACCGCGCCAAAAAGGCTGGCACAAGATATCAGAGCTGCTGATATCGTTGCGTAGTTGATACATAAGATAGCCACCGCTATCTGTACTGTAGCGGGCTACCTAGCCCGTTACAGTACAAGAGAGATTAAAGAGTAGTAATCTTTCTTCTTATATTATAGGCAAGAGAGGCCTAACTAATAAGTATACATTTACTTATTATATAGAAGAAGAAAGATATAGAAAAGAACTATCTAGAGGGCCCTCTTTTTATAGTTGTTACTTAACGTGGTTCACAAGCGAGTCGCTCACCCAAGCGAGTCGCTCACGCCCCACCAGCGCGTCGACGTCGAGACTGCAACACGTCATGTCTCAACAACGTCAACATTTATTAGCCTATCCTGAATCAGATCTTCAGCTTGCTCTTTTTAATATCCAATCGCAACGTGTTCAAAGCCAAAGACGTGCTGCCTCTATCTATAACGTGCCTCAAAGAACCCTATCTAACCAACGCGCTGGAAAGCGCTCTCGACGCGACTGCGAAGCGAATTCGAAGCGCCTAAATAAGCTAGAAGAGGAGGCTATAGTTAAGCGTATTCTTGAGGAGTCTGCGCGAGGATTTGCGCCTACAAAGCCTGACGTTCAAGCAATGGCTAATAAACTGCTGCATGAGCGTGGGAGCAACCCTGTTGGCAAGAACTGGATTGATAACTTTGTTAAGAGGACTCCTAAGCTCCGCACGCGCTGGAGCCGTCCCTACGATCACCAGCGAGCTACCTGCGAGGACCCAGCGGCTATCCAGCGCTGGTTCGACTTAGTTCAGGCGACAAAGCAGAAGTGGGGTATTGTGGACGACGATATCTACAACTTTGACGAAACTGGCTTTATAATGGGCAAGATTTTATCACAGTTAGTTATCACAGGCTCAGAGGGATATGGCAAAAAGAAGCGGATCCAGCCAGGTAACCGTGAGTGGGTTACTGTGATCCAAGGCGTGGGCGCGTTAGGTCGCCGGCTACCCCCCTTTGTTATCTTTGCGGGCAAGGTGCTTATCGACGTCTGGTTTAAAGACCTGCCTACTGACTGGGTTCTTGAAGTTAGTCCTAATGGCTGGACGAATAATCAGCTTGCTCTTGCGTGGTTAGAGCACTTTGATACCTATACAAAGAGGCAGACTGTGGGTGGGTATCGACTGCTCATTATCGACGGCCATGAGAGCCACTGCTCCGTCGATTTTCAAGATCTTTGCAAGGAGAAGAATATCATTCTTCTCTGCATGCCTGCGCACTCGTCTCACCTATTGCAGCCCCTTGATGTCGCCTGCTTCTCGCCGTTGAAGCGCAAGTATGGCGACTCGATCTCAGGCTTGGCACGCAACCGCACCAGCTATATCAGTAAGGAGACCTTCCTGCCAGCCTTTAAGGCTGCTTTTGAGCAGTCTATTACGAAGGAGAATATCCAAGCTGG